CCCCCATATTTATAAACCAATTTTTGGCTGAGATATGACCATTTTTATTCATTCTGACTGAAAAAAAATTAAACAGTACCATTGTCAGCCACTAGATGGCACTCGAGTAGTTAAGGCATGTCGTATCATGTAATAGGTAAAAGTGGCTATTAATAACACAATCGGCTTGCCATAGCCTGCCACTGTCGTCTGCCAGGAACAACCGAATCAGATTCATTTTGCTGTGCCGCCCTGGCAAAATACAGCTGATTTGACCGTCAAAGTGCATTTATTAAGCAAAAGTTAGACTAAGAAACACCCTTACTATAATTTCAAGCCAACAAATAATTGTTTTTAAGTGTTACTCTTGTTAAATTCTTGTTCAAGTCCTCCCATGCACGCACCCGCGGCTGCCATTTGGCAGCCCATTGATTTTTGGCACAACACTGGCCCACATTTCCGGGTTGTCAGCAGTGATGCAAAACAAATGTGACGCATCATAGATGCAACGTATATGGTGAAGCAACATATTTATGGATTTTTCCACTTTTTTAGACATATTTGGACTGATGCGACTTATATGGCGGTATGACGTGTACGGCGGAAAATACGGTACATAAAAGACTAAAAAAGTATAATTCTGCTGTATTCATTCATACCCACAGTATCTATGCTCTACAGACTCATGTTCGGACTGCTGTTTCATATACCGTATTATTTTACATTATTAGTGTTTAGCATGTAACATAGATCTTTTAGCCTATTGTTTAGTCTATTGTTTAGCGTATATCTTAGATTCTTATATACAGTATCTTTTTACAATTTATATTTTTGCTATTTTTGGGTGTAACTGGGACCTTGAGTACACATTTTCATTCCACCTCGTGTACCACATGTGATATGAATGACAATAAAGATACTTGGAACTTGAACAAGTCTAACAAACTGTCTTAAATCAAAGGCTGTGAAAATGGGATTTAATGTTTGTTTGTTTTTTCAGAATGATCACGTTCTACGTCAAACTCTGAAAAACCTTATGATGAGTTCAGGTCCTTCTTGTCAGAGTAGTTATTACTTTAAGTATTATTTACTTTTCTTACTTTAGTCACTGACTTTAATTATTATAACTTTATAATTATAATTACAAGTTTGTATTCCGACTGAAATAAAAGTAGGTTTTCTTTTTTCTTTTCTTTTTTTTACCTAAAATTTATTTAGTTTTTTGGCATTCTTTTTTAAAATTGGAAATTCTATTGTTTTTATGTAACGGCTTTATTTGAGGGATCAACTCTGGATTTTTATTTTTTTTTTATAACAGAAATAAATTTTTTCTCATTATTTAAACATTTAAAGAGTTACAAAGTGTATATTTTGTTCCAGTTATTCTTTCTAAATCTCATTATCAGTAGGAAGGTGAAAAGTATCTAACTAAATTTTCTACTGGACCTAAACTAGACTCAAAGTAGCACTGGAAAATTATTTCTCTTGGATCTATTCTAGTGGCCCATCAATCTAATTTCCAGTTGTTGATTTCCAGTCTTACTAATTACAGTATTATTGAGCTATTAGGAAGTTGGTCTATTTATTCATGTCTTATTGCTCTACTGTTCTTCTGGTTAATTAATTGTTTTAGGAAACCAGAACAAGGTCAAAAAGAGTAATTAACTAACAAGAAACAGCAGTTATTCAAAGTGTAACACTTTCACTGTATTTACACGTTTCTAAGCATAAACTGAATTAAAATTAAATCAGGACATTTTGAGGCTTTGATTTGATTTGATGATGTTATTTTGTATTAAGTGAAGGTGGCTCTGAAGAAATACAATCCCATGAAGTTTTGTGTCTATTGCAGTCAACAGTTAGGTTTCTGACCTTGACCTCTGATCGGTGATCATTAAAATGTAATTTCTTTTTTAACTTCAGAGGCTTTTTGTGATTATATTTGCTATATATATATATTATATTTGAGATTATATTTGCTTTGGTATGTGGAGCTGCATGCCAGGCGTGGCAGTAAAAGGCGGGCAGTTGCTTCTCCTGTAGCAGGTTGTGTGTCTACTGTTACACTGCAGGCCAGCCAAACTCATAAACACTGACCTTTAGTACGGTCGCACAGAAAGGCTGGCAAGATAGAAGAGGGTGTGAGAGAGACATAAAGACAGAGACTAAAAGAGAGGATTGTGATATGTGGGGGGGTGAACCAGAAAGGGATTGGATAAAAAAAGAGGTGAAGAAAAATGACTACAGTAGAGAGAGAAAGAGAGAGAGAGAGCAGGCAAAGGAGGAGGAGGAAGGGTGATTAGTGTGTGAGCCCTAGCTCTGATTGGTCTTGCCTGGATCTGTTTTGTGTGTACCTCTAGGCCAGTGGGCGGGGGATTAAGCCTGCATCACGTGGTCCCTTTAGCTTCTTTTCCACACAAACACTATCTCATTCGCAGAGAGCACACGCATACGCACATACCTATATCCTCCAACAAGCACACTCACAGCTGTTGATACTTCTGTCTCTCTCTGATGAACGGCGGGACAGCCGAGGAGCAAAGCCTGCAGGAATCTGGAAGAATATAACGACCTAAAGCATCTGTATGGAAAATCTGGACGGACAAGTGGAGCGACTTGCTTTCTGATCAGAGCCTGACTCTTGTTTTCAGTCATTTGTATTCCGCACTTCCTCTTTCATACGTCTTTCACGGCTTGTCTGTTGGAATCTGAGCACTGACTGTAAGCAGCAGACAAAAATAGACATGAATTTTGCCACTTCTCTTCTACTACCACCTAATTTCTGCCAATAGCTGACCAAGGAGGAAATTTAAGGTTAGTTGGACTTGGCTTTAACTGTTGATATCTTGTCAGTACTTTTTAGTTTAAAGCTTTGACTTGAAAACATACATTTAGCCATGTGTTTCAACACTCCATCTCCTCACTGTCCTATTTATTTTCAGAACCAATGTGTCCTCTGTTTACCAGCCGTTGTCCCAAAACTGGCTGGTATTTTTAGGGGAATTCCACATTACTATAGCTGTGTGGGCACACACTCTCAGAGAAACACACTCCTTCTGTATAAACATGCTTAGTAGATACAGTGCTCAGAGTCTGAGCACCAGAGAAGATTAGAGCTGGTTATTATCTCGAATGTGCAATACTAAGGGGTGTCTGGGAAGAAAAACACAAGCAAGGATTTTGGTTTAGTGTCACTGCTATTTCAAGAGTCCAGACTTTGGCATATTTTTTACATTATGTCTGCAACTTTATATATGTATGTGTGTGCGCGCGTGTTTGTGTATATATATATATATATATATATATATATATATATATATATATATAATTAGAGGGAATGTCTGTAAAATATGTAAAAAGGTAAAGAACCTGCTCTGAAACAAACCAACTCTTGTAATGTACCAGAGGAAACGTTGACCACTGGCATGGTGGGCTTAAGAAGAGCTTTCCTCACGTTACAGTAAAGACGCTGGATAATGTAAGCTGCTGAGTGTTTCACACTCACACTTTCTTCAGTTTCACTTCTAAATCTGTCATGCAGACATGTTTGGACAGAATACACACCAACTTATCTGAATGTTCTGCCAGCTTCAGATTCATAAACACTCCAGTTTGCAATGTGCATATGCACTTGTGCCACTTTAGACAGTGTGTGCCGATATAATTAGCAACATAAAGACTATTTCCAGGTATTGTTCACAATTGTTCTCATTGGGATTATAAGGCATCCCATAGTGTGGTTTGGCTATTATAGGTATGGCAGAAACACATGCAGGCTTACTTTAAAGGCAAGGTGTGTATAAGAGTGTTGGGTGGTGTTGGTTGATGTCTAAATGAGTTTGGTGATTTATGCCTGCCCTTGGTATTAACAGTCAATAGTCTTTTTCCTTGGTATTTAAATTTCAGGCATCGTCTGTGCAATTTTTAGTTAGCATTATCAAAAATGGTTTCTGAAGGGAAAATTTTAGGTAGAAACAATGAACAAAATTAGGGATTCAGAAAGACAAATAACAGGTCAGACAACAAAATGCAGAAGCAGATAATGCACATGGCAAGCTTATAATGCTTTCATCAAATGGAAGTGAAAAGTTGGGTCTTGGCTGAGTCCCTGTATCATATCTTGTGTGTTTTTGTGCGTAAAATCTTAGAAAAGCACTAACGCATGATAGGTGAGCAACCTGTTTTTGAGATATATAGTAAAACCTTGCAGTAGTGAAAGGAGAGAAAACGACCAGTAATTCTCTCTACAAAAGCAATTAAACAGAGGAAACAAGTCATGCATCAGTAGACTATATAATGCTCATGTTCCTTTTTGTCTTGTTTATCCTAACATCCCCTGTGGAAAGATTGTGTTAATCCATCCATCAATCCATAATCTTTTACCCGCTTCTTCCTTTTTGGGTCATGGGGGTCACTATTCATTTGTCTCAATGTGGCCCTGTGATGGACTGGAGACTTCCATCATGCGCCCTGTATCTATGACAGCTGGTCATGGTTACCAGTGACCATCGCAACCTAGAAAGGAAAAAACTGGTAAAGATAATGGATGGATAGGTATATTTGTTTGTAGGTGTAGGTTGTTCATGTCCTGATGAGCTTTCTTGATCAGGCTGGTGGTGTTGTTGCTCCAGCTGAGGTTGTCATTCATGTGTACACCCAAGTACTTGTAGCTGGAGACCACTTCCACCGCAGATCCTCTTATGTTCAGGGGGGTGTAGATGTTTTTGTTCCTTCTGAAGTCCACAATCATCTCCTTTGTCTTCAGATGAGTCTAGCAGTTTTCCATGCTTACCTCACACCTAAAGACAATTTAGAATGGTCAGTTAATTGAGCATGCGTGTTTTTGTACTGTGGAGGTAAACTACAGTATTCGGAGAAAACCCATGCATGTACAGAGAGAACATACTAACTTCAAACAGAAAGGCCTGAACAAACCAAGATTTGAACTTGAGATCTCCTTGCTGTAAGACAACAGTGCCTCAAAATATAATATTGAATCCCACTGGCTGTATTGCATATCCTGATGCTTGCATAGTTTGTCAAAAGAGAGCTATCCAGATATCTGCTGCTTTTGCTTACAAACCTGTAACTTCAGACCTTTTTGCTAAATAATTCTGAGATACGGCCTCAGAGATGAACCCCTCTATAAGGCACCTCCAGTTGTTCACAAATGCACCAATGAAACCAGCCATGCAGCCAGTCTGTGTACTTTATACAGAGCATTATATAACCAGTGGATGACAGCAGTGCCATTGATCTGGGCTGAGTACTGCTTGTAAGGTCCACACTTCACACCACCTGGCAAACTCGGCTACCTTCTCTGCTGGCTCAGTTGTGTAACGGGGTAGTTTGACTTCCCCGTCCCAGTTGTGTGACTTTAAAATTATTTTGTGAAAGAGACTATTGACTGTTAATCAATTTAGGATTTTGCATATTTGAGTGGTCAAGAGTCTGTTCTGATACATACCTAGATAAAAATCTACACGTTTTAAGTCAAATGTAACACATCTTACTTTAAACAGTTCTGGGCGAGATGAACTGAGTGGTAAAAGTTGAATGCCTATGAGCCAGTAGAAGAGTAAGGCAAATATCCAAATTGACAATACGATCAAACATGACCCTTTTGACATAATTGCTGTTGTCACCCATCTGAATATGCAGCACAGTTGTATTTATCTCTTCAGTGGCTGTATGAACTGTATGATTGAACGTAGAGCCACGAAAGGAAAGATGTCCTCTGTTTACCAGCTGTAGAGTATGGCTCCAAAAATTGTCATACAGAAACTGCTTTGTTGTTTTAGAGGAGTTCCTTATTTGTATGGTTGTGTAGACACATCCATTAGGAGAGTAACACTCCTGCTCATAGGCATTATTGGCCATTAGTTCAAGCACCAAAGAAGATTATCATTGGTTATTATCTCTAATGTGCAAAACGGGGGGGGGGGGGGGGGGGGGGGCGTTGTCTGAGACGTAAAACACAAGCAAATGTTTTCAAAGTCACAGCTAAAACCACATCACCTTCTTTGCATTATTGTAATGTGATGAGAAAAGAGTTTTTGAATTATTTTCTTGTGGCTTGGTGTTAATTAAATTTTCTTGTGGTCTTTGTGAATGCAGATTGGGAAAAAAACAACATGCAAGGGTAATATCATATAAAGTAACTTTAGCTCACCTGTTATTTTCAGGTAGCGCATAGAAATTTAAAATCAAAGAGTATTGTTTCATGCAGAATAGAGATGCTGAAGCAAGCGGTGAGTGGTTGGTTACCATTTCAGTAGCAAAAGGTGGCCAACATCAAACTAGTCACACGAAGTCTAAAAAGTTAAGTCAGGTCCTATGGACATTCAAAAAAACAAAACAAGAGAATTGTAAAAATGTTTCGTCTTTCATCCAAAAGACTTCTTCAGTCTGAGGTGTTGTATTCAACTCAGTCTTATAAATAGCACCTTCTCATAGTGGATCAACCAGTTTGCTGCTGACTTGAGCATGCATCAGGATAGTCACACAAAGGTTTTTGTTGTCGTTTTGTTTTTGATTGATAAGAAATGATGGAAATAAGGTTGCAGGAGAAGAGATGGGCTAATATACGTGAACAGTAGCCCCTCGATTATTGCGGGGGTCATGTGCCACACACCCCCACGATAGGTGGAAAAACTGCGAAGTAGGAACGCTATATTTATTTTAGTATTTATATACGTTTTAAAGCTTTATAAACACTTCCCACACTCTTGCAATGTTCTAAACTCTTAAGCCTATGTCATTTTAACAACATACCATACCCTTTTATTTATAGAGCACTTAAAACAGCAACAAGGCCAACCAAAGTGCTGTACAGACAGAACAACAGGTAACACACGAAGCAATATACAAAATGAAGTAAATCAGAAATATAGTCATGCGTATAAGTACTGTACAGTACTGCAAAACTTTACTCACCAGCTCTGCAGAACAGCAGCTCGGTTCCAGTCGGGCTCGGTTCCGGTTCAGCAGACCTACCCTGACTGCCCCGTCCAGGTTGATGTGCACATAGATAATTGATCTTCAGGAAGCTTCAGGATTATTTGCGACTTTCTTGCCAGTTCTTTCAGCTTAATAGATAGCATAGATTTGCGTTGTAAAAAAACTTTCCCTCCATTTCAGCAGAAAGCAGAGGCCGGAAGCACTGTTGGCTTCTGGGTAGTGTAGTTCTTTTGACTGACCTTACAGTATAGGTTTATTGAAAGAAAATGGCGGCGCCTGTCCAAAGTATCATAATTTTTTACGTTAACTTTTTATCTCGTACCATCCCAATCACGTGAGTAAAGTTGACAATCATTGAAACACCGTGAAAAAGAGCGAGTCACAAAAGTCGAACCACGAGGTAGCGAGGGACTACTGTATACTTCTTCCTACTCCTTTGAGCGTAATTTAGACTATTTTAATTCCCCTTGACTCTTAAAATTAGCAACCACATTTTTTAAGACATTAAAATCTTCTTTATAAGAAACTGAGCAAAAGTCTGCCAGAATAAATGGCATACCGGTAGTTAACCTAGCCTTGAATTTATTCTTTTTTGTGTGTTTTTAAACAAAATTTTAATTTCATTTTTTACTATTATGCCAAATCTTTTTATATACAACATAAAATATACCATAAAAAGCATTTCTTTGTTTTGATTTAGACACATAAACTGTGTATGTTCACCTATTAGTTGAAGTAAGGCTAATAAAAATTGCAGATCTGTGACTTATTGATCAAATTGAACTCAAAAACGATGTTAATTTATCTTTAGTGCATAGTAAAAAGAAGTTTTCTGCAAATATTTACTGACATCGACGCTTGTTTGAAGCTTCTGAACATGCCAGAGAGTGATAGAAAAGTCACTAAGGGTCACGGGGTGAGAGGTCGCAGTAACCTTGCCTGAAGCTCCAGTCACAGTCTATGTCCGTTCAATATATACAGCCTGCTTCGTCCACCAGACACACATTTGTGGTGCTTAAATCAATAATTCTGCAGCACTGTCCTCCAGTATCAAAGGTTGGTCATATTTCTAACATCCAGTTAGTTATTAAACAAAATTTAATTCACATTAAGATGGCATTGTTACAGAAATCATGATGGTTTCATTCACAAAGACCAACCATGGGGTGGGAAATTTGAATCGCACATTTACAAAAACAAAAATATGAATGGAGAACTTTCAACCTTCTGACTGATCTTTCTGGGTGTGGTTAGTCTAAGACGTTTCAAGATGAGCACAGAACTTTATTGGCCAACACTTTGGGAGGTGGAGTGCGTGAAGTGGAAATTGTGACTGAAGTGTAACTTTAGTTAGAGCTCCAACTGTTGTGTTCAGCCGTGCTAAATCCTGCTTATGCGGAAACTGCCATGCATGAGCTTCTCCCTTTAACACCTTCTTGCATAAGCTGTGTGTGTTTATTTTTTACTCTAAGTTTTTGGTACTGGGTTATTATATAACACCCGTAGGTACAGCAAATTTGAAACAAATGTTGCATTTTACAGCAAGAAAGTTTCCTGGTTTCTGGTATTCAGTCACATTCATGTTTTTTTTTCATCACAGTCTCAGTTTCATTGCCAACCCAGTTTGTTTCAATTAGCTTTTGTACCAGACTTTAGTTTATTGAGATCTGTCGCTACAACTACTCTGTAACTAAAACAATTCAGACAAGAGAGGGATTTCTGTATAAAGTTACAGAACTCAGCACTCTGCAGCTGTCTTCAATTAAAGGTTTTTTAGGGGACTTTAATTTGTCTCTTTAGTATAAATCATAGCCTAGAATAATGTAAAGGGTGAGATTATGTTTATATATAGCAAGATGAGGGAATAAATGCTTAATCAATAGGTGAAATCAACATTTTGAAACCTTTTTTCCAAGTATAAGCTTGTATTTTAGCCACTGATTACAATCTAAAATGTTTGCAGCAATGTTTTAATTATTTTCACTTTGGGAAAAATAAAAAAGTGAGAAAGATGAGTTGTAAATTAATTGAAAATCCGCAACTTGTTTGTTCTTATTAGAGCATTGAAAACATTACTGTCTGTGGACTAAAACATTTTTTAATGTGGGAGTTTCATGGTATACAATTCAGTTCAGTTCAGTTCATTTTATTTCTGTAGCGCCAAGTCACAACAAAAGTCATCTCAGGACACTGAACAGAAACATTCATATATATAAAATGTATGTTAACAATATTAATTATCCAAGGGGCAGACTACTTTGAGTTTTACATCATCGCAGACTCTTATCTTGAGCAAACGTAAAGGTAACAGTGGAAAGGGAAAACTCCCTCATGAGGAAGAAACCTTTAGCAGAACCTGGCTGCTTCGACCGGCTGGGTTTGAGAGAAACAGGAAGGAGGAACAGATGCACAATGGCAGGTCAAGAATCACATTTTAAGATAGATATAATATCAAATGGAAACTGTTCAATAGTAACAATTTATTTTGAGAAATAAGGTTTCTTTGTCCTCCAGTAGTCTAAGCCTATGGCAACATAAGAAGCCAACCCTAACTAAAGGATTTATCAAAAAGGAAAGTCTTAAGCCCAGTCTTAAAACTGGACAATGTGTCAGCCTCACGGACAGAAACTGGAAGTTGGTTCCACAAGAGAGGAGCCTGATAACTGAAAGATCTTCCTCCCATTTTGCTTTTGGAAACTCTTAAGAACCACAAGTCTGAGAGCAAATTGTCAGACAATAAGATCTGGAATATAAGATGGAGCTAGGTTGTTGAGGACTTTGTAGGTCAGAAAAAGTAAGATTTTGAATTCAATTCTGAATTTGACCGAGAGCCAATGGAGAGAAGCTAAAACTGGAGAGATATTATCTCTCCTACCAACTCCCATTAAGACTCTGGCAGCAGCATTTTGGATTAACTTTTTAAGAAATTTTTGGACACCCATATAACAAACCATTGCAATAGTCCAGTCTAGACATGACAAATGCATGAACCAGTTTTTGTGCATCATTTTTAGATTTTTAGTATATCTCCTGTACTGAATGAATTGAATGTTTCCACTGGTATTCTTTCATGTTTACAGTATCAACAGTACTGTCATTGTAGTGAAGTTATGCAGTTGTGGGGAAAAAAAAGCCCTTTGAACACACTGCTTGCCATAGTACACGTTCGTCCACGTGGCAGAGTTTCTTTCAACCTTATTTTGTCTGAGTGATGCCTCGGCTGTTTGGGCTAAGCTGTGTGTCACTCCACTAATCTTGACCATCTTTATAAGTGGCATTTGACCAGAATGAGCAGCTTAGCGGCATCTGTCAACCAAATCACCCCTTCCCCCACGCCCTTTTCTTCCCACCTGTTGCGTTGATAGAAGTGAAGGTTTAGAGATGAGAGGAAGGTGTTTCTGACAAACTACTGACCAAACTAGCTCCGCGTTTGTCACTTGACAATTGTGCTTTTTATGGCTGTAAACACCTAAATCTTTTTCTTAAACCCTGTTGCTTTCATTTCTCTGCAAGCCAAGATACCATCAGATTGGTTTGTCATATGCTCCACCTCTTGAAATGTATTATCATCCACAAATACTACAACACCTAAGTTTGTTTCATTTCCATTTCTTTTAGTTATAAAAATGTCCTTTGTTAGAATATCTGTTTGGCAAGGAAGCAAAGCCAATTGTATCCGTTGTTTGAGCTGCAGCTACTCCTGTGTTCTCCAGAACGCTTGTTGTCGTGCCAGATCACCTGAGAATGAGCAATGGGAGTGCACCAACTCAAGGCCTGCATGTCCTTGCCATGCACTTTGTAGGGTGAGCTGTCAGAATGACCTGGCTAACGCCTCTGTGCACTTATGACTTGTGTGTGTGGAACAAAACTTTTGCTATTGGGAAAGTACGTGAGCACAATAAATAGTACCACTCTTGAGGTCCATAAAAGAGCTGTCCCTTTCCTGTTTGACAAGCATACAGTATGATGTAGTTCACGGCAGACAGGTCATTTTCTTCTTTGCCAATAAGTTTGATTTTCCTGTATCTGGTGAATTTGTTTATTTAAAAGATAAGTGAATAAGTTTTGATTTGAAAATAGCAATACTTTTATGAATTTGCATAAATCCTGTCAACAGTGAATCAAACTCTATGCTGCGCCGATTGCTCATTTACAAGCGTGAAATCTTTGCTTTAGGATAATAAAGAAGCATAAAAGTGAACCTATGAAAATATGCACAGGGCATGTTTTGTCTTTTGCATGTTACTCTACTAACAAATTTACTCTGCGCCCTGATGTCTAAAGGATTTGCATGCAACTTTGCTGTTGGCTGTTTAGCTTGAATCTGCTGTTCTGTTCATTTCCCCCACCCTCGCTCTTCATTAGGAACATTAGCACAGGCACGTGAGTTCTGTTTATCGTATGTTCTTCCATTTTGCATATTCCAACATGTCTGCCCCTCTACTTTTCAGGTGTGCGTCAAAGCAGCAGCCATTGAGCAAACTAGTGCAGAGAAGCAGGCATGAGTGCAGACAGCCATCAGGAGGTAGTGACCACTCCTCCACCACCTGGTGGAGGGACCAAGGATCGCTACTTTGACCGGGTCAACGTCAACGATCCGGAGTACATCAGAGCCCGGAACATGTCGCCTGATCTCCGGCAGGATTTTAATGTTCTGGAACAAAAGAAACGCGTCACACAGATACTTCAAAGTCCGGTAAGCAGTAAGAACGAAACTCAGCTCAAAAAATGTTTACTTGTACACTAGAGTTGAAAACCAGTAAAACAAGGAGGCATTGTTCAGTTTGAATTTTCTCTTACTTTTGTCAGTCTATATGGAGACTGGTCACGGGTTTCAAATGTGTGCTAAAGTTAACATCAAGCCATGATTAGTGCAGAGAAGAACAAAACCTTTAAGTATTTGTTTTATCTGGCTTTTTGGGGCATAAACATCAACGTGAAAGCCGGCTTGGGATGTTTTGTCGAGTCTTAGCTTAGTTTCTTCTCAGAACTATTGTACATTGTGCTTTCTCTTCCTTACGATGCATCACTGGATGTGAGAAGCTGATGTTGGGCAAAAATTATTCTGCAATATGATTTTAAAGAAGGCTCACTCTTTTAGCTGTCGTTGGCTTTCCATTCATGAGTCGACTATATCCCTCAACTATGTGTGCTTGTATAAATTCATCTTATAACCAACTAATGGTAGCAGCATTGTTAGCTAAAGTGAAGTACTGTAGCCTCCCCTCACATCACACCTACCTACCAATTTAGCTCTGTGACTACCTCCTTTGGCAACTCAGTATAAAAGCAGTTGGTTGATTTCAGCCCCCATCATGCCACTTGGATTGTTTCATAAATAACATAAAAATGGCAATGAGGCAACTTAGACATGATGCACGGGTTGGTTAGTGTAGGGGTTTGGTTTTGAATCTGAGCTGAGCTTCTACAATTTCCACTTGGTGTGGGATTTGGTAGGCGGGGCGCTCGGTTCTGTTGACAAAGTGGGGCGCCCTTCTTGAATAATGGTAGGGGAAACACTGGAGTGGAACGTTGAGCTTACCTTGTATTATCAAGAAAATGAGTTTGAATCCTTTGTCAGAGTTTTCTTCAGTGAGATTAGTACACCCTGCCCTTGTCTGTATTAGATTTCTTTAAGTGCTTCAGCTTCTTCAGCTGAAATGGCTACTTACCTAAAGGTGTAAATGGTGTCAAAGTATTTATTTTATTGCGTCCTCGCAGATAGGATGCATGTTCGGATGTGCATTCTGGAACAAGCTAATGGGTGGAGTGAGAACTACTGTACTTTTTCTCTCTTGTTTTTTTTTCATTTTTTCTTCTTTTTTTGTCCAATGATCCAATTATGTATGGTATGGTATAAAGTTTATTCATTTTAAAAAAGGTACAACACAATTCCATAACAATATAAAGAAAGATACAAAATATTTAAAATGAAAGGCAGCAGAAAGAAGAAAAAATCTGTTATTATGTCCAATTATGGTAGTAATAATGTTTCCAACATTCACACTTTTTTGCTTATTGTCGTAGAAACAACTGATTCTCAGACCGTCAGGTGTAGACTTCATCAAATTTTTAAGTTGCCGTCAAATGAGAGAACAATCAGTTTCACAGAAAGTCAAAACATCTGTTTTATTCTGCTCGTTCTGCTGGCATCCGTTTTGAGCTCTCTCATACCTTACTAAGTTACATCAGTTGTTTAAATAGTGCCACAGATTGAAAGAAAAAAAGTTACGTAGAGGGTGATAAACATATCTGCCAATCTACATAGATCGCCCCAACCCACATAGATTGACACAGATGGATCACTTACATTTGACATAATGTTCAGTTTCTCAATGACATGGATTCAAATAAGGAATTTTGAACTGTAGAGGAAAATATATATTATACAATATGTAAACATTGCAATGTAACAGGAAGCAGATAAACTACAATAAATTCAATTCAGTTTATTTATATAGCGCCAAGTCACAACAGAAGTCATCTCAGGGCACTGAACAGACACATTCACATTTAAAAATAAGTTGATAACATTAATTATCTGAGGAGCAGACTGTTTTGAGTTTAACTCCATCACAGAACTCTCATCTTGAGCAAGCACGAAGGCAACAGTGGAGAGGAAAAACTCCCTCATGAGGAAGAAACCTTTAGCAGAACCAGGCTCAGGACAAGCGGCCATCTGCTTTGACTAGCTGGGTTTGAGGGGAACAGATACACAATGGCAGGTCGAGAATCACTTGTTAAGAGAAATAATTTAAAATGCAAATTATTCACTTGTTACAATTCATAATGAGGTCAATTTGTCCTCTAGTAGTCTGAGCCTATGGCAGCATAACAAGCCAACCCTAACTATAGGATTTATCAAAAAGGAAAGTCTTAAGCCCAGTTTTAAAACTGGACAATGTGTCAGCCTCATGGACAGAAACTGGAAGTTAGTTCCACAACAGAGGAGCCTGATAACTGAAAGATCTTCTTCCCATTCTGCTTTTGGAAGCCCTAGGAACTGCGTGTAAACCTTCATACAGGGAGCGAAGTGCTCCGTTAGGAAAATATGGAACAATACGATCTATAATATAAGATGGAGCTAGGTTGTTGAGGGCTTTGTAGGTAAGATTTTGAATTCTATTCTGAATTTGACAGGGAGCCAATGGAAAGAAGCTAAAACTGGAGAGATATGATCACTCCCAGTAACTCCCATTAAGACTCTGGCAGCTGCATTTTGGATCATTTGAAGACTTTTTAAAGAAGTATTTGGACACCCAGATAAACCATTTCAATAGATAATCAATAAATATCAATCAATAAATAATAAACTTCCTTCACAGTTATATAAATGTGGTACATTTATATTATATTTAAATTCAAGGAGTTATGCTGTATCAACGTGTCTGGAAGTCTGATGAAGCACTTCCTGTTCATGGACTAATAGTTTGAGTTAGTGGTTCCCATGTTCTCTCTTTCTTGCTGTCAGTTATTCTTCCTTAACCAAATAATTTCTTAATAAGTTTCAGCAGCAGCTGCATCCCGTGCCTGTGTGTAATCGCTTGTGTTGATGTTGCGACCACAGAATCACAGCAGTTGGCATTTCACTAAAACCCTAATGCAACCACCAGCCACCACGCCCTTGCTCATGTTCGGTCAGGCTTTTAACATAAAAATTTCCATGAACACAAAATAGATCAAAGAAAAGTAATGTTACTGTAATGGATTTGTTACGTTGACACCTCCAGCATAAGATTTTAACCAATTTCCACCAATTTGCTCTTCTAGCTATACCAATGTATGGCACGTGTTTACTTGTTATTATATTTAGCTGAATGGCTTTTGTGTCCAGTTTTTCTCATAGCAAAGTTATAATCGTGGTTTCATGTGAAACAGATGAAATATTGTCCTCGTTTGCGTTCTGCCCTTTGAACAGTTTTGTCAGTTGTGTGATTTTACAACCCGACCCACCAGGAATATTTACTCTGCAATATTGACTTAAGGCTCATCTCTCACAGTTTAGATTGGATTTGAGGTACAAGGTGTGTGTATTTGTCTGTACTGTACGAGGCTGTACTTTAAATATATAGTCAAATTTACGGCAAAGACATAAAGCTTGACATTGAGTCGACACGCCATGTCATAAATAGGACTCGCTCACCAGAAGTGTAACACGAGCCTCGCTGGAGGTGTTTTGACGGTTTGGCCTGTGCTTTTTTTAAGTTTAAAATGTGATCCACACTGCACATGCCTTGAGTGGTTTCCTTGGTATGCTGAGTTTTGCGTTTGATGTCTGAAAGGGCGTAAAGCCGTGTGCTGCTGATGCAGGTTTCCATTCTGCACTCTGTTGATGTCTGTGAGGGTGACTGGGTGCGTTTCATGGCGCTGCCCAGCAGACAGACTGCTGCAGGCCACTGTTGTATCATTAGTGACTGTCTGTCTAGTCAGTCATCAATAAAATCTTCTGTGGTGGGTTTTGCAACGCTGCCATCATTCCGCCTTTATTACTGACAACTCAGCCTGGTGACTAATTTAGCAGCGAGTCAGTGAAGGGGAATGATTTGAGAGCCTGGTGAATCTGTTTTTTTTTTTTTAAAAGTCAAAGACCACAATCTGACCTCGCTTATAAAAGGCAACACAAAACTTTACAATTCCAGCTACAATTTTATTATGTCATTTTGTTGGTATTTACATGTTTAAATGGGAAATTAACATTATTTTCACATTGCTCACAGCACCTTGAAGACAGTAAAATTATGTCATTTAGTGTTTTTTTTAGGGTCTCTGGCTGTAGGTTTTACTCACCCTTATTATGTTTAATTTTCAGCTATATGTAATAAAAATTCTGATTATTTTGCTTTATTTTTCTTTTAGTGGTCTTTAGTTCTGACTTGCACAGGCTGCTTTTTTCCCCAACAACTTTAATAACTGTTGTGTCAGCTTTAGGATGTCACAGGTGACACACCGTCATTATTTACAACTGCCTCACACTGCGTGTGTGTGTGTGTGTGTGTCTGCTTGTTACCGTGCTTTGCACTTGTGGTCACGCAATGTTTTCTATGTTATTCCTGCTTCATGTGGTTTTGAACGTGATCCAATCAGATACCAGGCAGCAAAAACAGGTGGCTCCCTGTGGGGTTCGCAGGCTTATGAAGGCAGTTGGCCTCTCAGTGCCGCTTCCCTCCTTTTCAGACAACAATAATAACAAGTGTGTGACACCAGCGGGACATTTCAATTTCCTTTTCCAAATTTCTCATTTTGCCGTGCTCTCTGGAACAAAAACAGCACGTCACCAGCTGGGTTTCCCCTCTTGTTTGCTTCCATTCCTTCTCCGTCTATGCTTTCTCTGTTTGTTTTTATTTCTGTGTTATGGCTTTCGTGGTGGTTCCAGATTACACGTTTCTCACATGGTAGGTTGTATTTAAAGCTGGACCGATATAGGCCGAGCCGGACTGGATAAACTCAGCTGACTTCATTCACTCCTCTCTTAAACGCAGCTGTGTTTACCTTTAAAAGTCAAAATCCACAGCTAAACCTTGAACCGCTCCACTTGTCTTTTGAAATCCACCAATTAGTTTTGCTTGTGTACAGTAGTGATGTGCACAGTATATGCAAGACCACTAGACATGCAATTCAGTTTTAGTTCAATTCAGTTTATTTATTTAGTGCCAAGTCGCAACAGAAGTTGTCTCAGGGCACTGAACAGAAACATTC